ATATAAAATAATATATATATATATATATAAATATATATATATATAAATATATATTATATATATATAAATTATATATAAATATATATATATAAATACATATATATAAATATATATATATATAAATATATATATACAAATATATATATACAAATATATATATACAAATATATATATACAAATATATATATACATATATATTATAATATATATAAATATATATATATAAATATATATATATATATAAATATATATATATAAATATATATATAAATATATATATAAATATTATATATATAAATATATATATATATAAATATATATATATAAATATATATATAAATATATATATAATAAAATATATATATAAATATATATATAAAGTATATATATATAAATATATATATATATATATATATATAAATATATATATAAATATATATATATAAATATATATATATATAATATATATATATATAAATATATATATACAAATATATATATACATATATATAATATATATATATATATATATATATATATATATATATATATATATATATATATATAAATATATATATATATAAATATATATATATAAATATATATATATATAAATATATATATATAATATATATATATATAAATATATATATATAATATATATATAATATATATATATATAAAAATGTGTATATATATAAATATATAAATATATATATATAAACATATATATATAAACATATATATATAAATATATATATATATAAATATATATATATAAATATATATATATAATATATATATATAGATATATTATATATATATAAATATATAAATACATATATTTATAAATATATAGATATATATATATAATATATAAATATATAAATACATATATATATAAACATATAGATATATTATATATATATATATATATATATATATAAATATACATAAATATATATAAATATATATATAAATTATATATATATATATATATAAATATATATATAATATATATTTATATATCTATCTATCTATCTATATATATATAATATTATATAATATATATATATATATATATATATAAATATACATAAATATATATATATATATATATATATATATAAATTTATATATATATAAATATATATATAAATATATATATAAATACATATATATATATAAATATATATTTAAATAAATAAATAAATAAATATATAAATATGTATATATATGTATATATATGTATATGAATATGTATATGTATAAGTATAAGTATATGTATAAGTATAAGTATATGTATAAGTATATGTATAAGTATTAGTATATGTATAAGTACTAGTACAAGTATATGTATAAATATAAGTATATGTTTAAGTTTATGTATAAGTATAAGTATATGTATAAGTATATATATAAGTATATATATTTTAAGTATATGTATTTAAGTATATGTATGTAAGTAAATGTATGTAAGTAAATGTATGTAAGTAAATGTATGTACGTAAATATATGTAAGTAAATGTATGTAAGTAAATGTATGTAAGTAAATGTATTTAAGTAAATGTATTTAAGTATATGTATGTAATTATATGTATGTAAGTAAATATATGTAAGTAAATGTATGTAATACCTAAAGAGTAAAATTTTCTGAATTGTATCAGAAAAGACAGGGAGCATTAGTTTGAAATCCCTACAGCAGATGCTGTATTAAGTCACCCGACTACAGAAAATTTTTCATGCTTCCCTGATCAAGGGGATTAAGAAATTTTGATTGTAATTGGTATAAATACATAAGGAACAAGTAAATTATCATAACAAATCAAGCTTAAAAAGTCAACCAGATTCTCTAATTATATTTACTAATTTACACTCGACTTTTGAGCATAGAAGATTTTAAATGGCTTTTTTTTTTAATTCTAAAATATCTTTGCTAGAAAATGACTCGGGAAACAACCAAAAAAATACCTGCTACTGAAAATGATACCAAACATAGCTAATAACATCTTACCACCAACAGACTTGTTATCATCTGCATGACTCTGTGCACTCTGCTGTTTCCAAGTTGTCTGATTAGGGAGAGCAGCAAAAGTAGTTTTCTTCTCTGGTCCTTTGTTACTTCGCTTGGTTGTGTCTTCTTTATCAGATTGCATGTATATAATATTAATACCACCTGGAAGCTGTTCTTTTAACTTGGAAAGTTCAGCAAAGCTAGTAGCTTTCGACATTTTTTCTCTATCAAAGGAAAGGTCACTTTCACTGCCAGAGTCCAAAGCTTCTACTGCATTTTTCCTTGGGTCCCTTGCAATTAATTTTTCTTTACTTGTGTATTGTGAAGAGTCACGCTTTTCTCGCTCTAAAGCTTCTCTTTCTAGCTTGTCAATTAAACGGTTATCAAGTTCATCAATGCTACTACGTTCAAATTCTCTTCGCCTTTCAACACTTCGTTCTCGACTACCACGAGATTCTGGCCTTGCACTTCCTTCGCGAGATTCCCTGGCTTGTGACCCTTCCCATGTTGTGTTTTCTCTTCTCCCTGTATGCACAAATGGTTCTTTATCAGGATTTCTAGAAATGTAATTCAAATTGTCTTGGCTCCCACCAAAGTTTTCTATAGTTAACTGTGAATCCTCAGCAGAAACTGAATTGCGTCGTGATCTCGATCGGCCATGTGGTCTTTCCTCATATCTGGAAGGCATGCCTGCTGCTGGTAGGTCTGGTTGAGAGTTTGTGAAACTCCCACGACGAACGAGGCCTCTACTCCTCTCTCCCAATTCTTCCTCCTTACTGTCCATGTTGTATCTTTCTTTGGCAGCACCTCTTGATGAATAGTGTGGTTCAAAATCCTGTGAAGCCCGAGGAGACTGTTGAGTTCGCATCATGTCACTAAGTGTGGCTAATCCACGGGAACGCTGCACAACAAAGTCTCCTTCTTGTCCATCACTCATAGAACTGAAAAAAAAAAAATAATAATAATAATAATAAGTTACCTATTTAAGTTCAGACAAGATGTCCCAGAAAATTCAAGCCTAATAATATCAGCCCAACTTATGGCTTTTCCTCTTAATGCTAGTAAGGTATTTGTAAAGTACTGGAATTTACACAAGACAATCGGCCGGTTTGTTAGAATTGTGCGAGGCTCGACCCAAAGAATATTTGTATACTTGACATGCATAAATAAAGAACCAAATGCATATCTATCAGTCAAGACATGCATGTCAACCCGGCAAATAGATGGTTAAATGTATATCTATCAGATACATAGATAGATATGCCTTTATATATGCGTCTGTATTTAAGAAAATTCATTGGGTCGGGCCTGGCACAATTTTAACAAACCGACTGATAAGACACAAAAATAAAGGCATATCTGTCAATATATCTGATAGATATACATTTAACTATCTATTTGCCCGGTTGATATGCATGTCTAGACTGATGAATAAACATTTATTTCTTTATTTATGGATGTCAAGTATACAAATATTATTTGGGTCGGGCCTCGCACAATTCTAACAAACCGGCAGAATGACGACAACTACAACAAAATGATAATGATGACTGATGATGATGATGATATAACAACAACTATAACATCTTAAAATTATCTTTCCAGTTTTATTCACTGTTTAGGCTACTAAAGAGATCTTTGATGGAGACATTAAAGAAAAATGTTTTGAGAAACTATGAAATGGACCAGTAAAATAGGTATTGGTAGGGGGTTCAGTTGAAATTTTTCATAATTTTGTAAAGGGGTCTAAACTCACTGTATATCATTTTCTATCTATATGAAGTTGCTTATACAAAAACATCAATAGTAAATATTGGATCCAGTTAACATGGATGCCATGACATGAAAAAAATTGTCTGACAGCAGGGGTAATGGGAACAAATCCTCTAGATGGTGTTAACAAATGGAGGGTAATGGGGACACTGGAGGGAGATTAAACTCCATGGGGATTTAGGAAGAGGTAAACATGGGAGGAATGCACCATCTGTGAGCCATTCCTGGAGGAGTGCCAGCTTCAGGGAGGACACATATTCCATTCAGGCCAAACCTAGATGACACATACCCAAGAAAGTAATTACTCAAGTAAGGCTAATGCCAACATTTTTGTCCATGTGCGAATTATATGGCACCCAGATCTAATGGGTTAACTGTCATTCAATGTTTGTGTTGTATGTGTGTTCATGTGTGCATCTGCATACGTGTGTGCATGCATGCGTGCATGTGTGAAACTAACTTTAAATTGAAAATGCACTATGTAGTATATATAAAACTTATATTTTTACCTACCTATCTCTGCCTCCATAATCGCTGTTGTAAGACGATGGTGCATGCTCAGACCTCTCACTTCGCAGCTCCATTCTTGATCTCATATCAGCCATGTCATTGAGGTTCATGGAATGTGATCTTCTTACACTTGGTGCCCCAGCAGGTTTCATAGCTGTATTAAAGAAAAATGTGTTGCAATAAAAATCATAATTTCTTCACATGACACACTGATATCACACTTCCATAATATATTGTTTATCACATTATCTGTACATATTATAGAAATATTTTTCTGCAGTGCATGCAAAAAAAAATAAATAAATAAATAAAATAAAATAAAAAAATAAAAAAATAAAAAAGAAACTTTATATAGATCCTGTTTAAATAAAATAAAATGAAACCACAAAGACTATTTAGTTGAACCAATATATTCAAACACAACCAATTACTAAACATTTTGCTGGCCACATATGCTGGGTAACCATGTACATATGGGCTGCTTTCACAAGATCAATACTTGGTGATTATGGCCTTGCTTCTCCTCATTACCATCACCTCAACCAGTCAAGCCTGCCCATTACAAGAAAGAGGTATTTTTTAATAATACAGTAAGTTTACTCTACTCTTGTTATAAATGGCTGCTGACTAATACCAAGTATTGATAATGAAATAAGCACATGCATAACAAATAATTCATTCTATACAACCAAGAGAATGGCCAAGGCAAAGCAATGATATAACATGACTCACCATCTACATTCCAAGATTACTGAATGTGGGAAAAAAAAAAAAAAAAAAAAAATCATGATATAAAATATTTCCTTTAAAAATCATGACTAATAATTACTAAAAACAAGGTGGAAAGCAAAAGTAACAATGACACAAAAAACTATATTCTACCAAACATATGCAAGTATGTGCATTCCTGTTAAATAATCAAAACAGCCAGCAGCCACTTATAAGACATTTGAAACTAAAAGTTGTGGATCAAACTCAAGTACTTGCAGTGTGCTACTGGCCCCGATAAGCACAACACAACTGAGTGCCACAAGGGTGCCAAGTTTTTTATAAACACTTTACCATAGGCCTTGGGCTGGGCTGGGTGACTGGCCCGCGCCCTTACACGCTCATGAGTATGGCCATGGCTGGGAGGGTGATGGTACTGCGTGGCATCTCTAACAGGGAGGTTGTAGCTGAGGCCCTGAGGGTATCCCATGCCACGAGTTGACCTCCCAGCAGGAACTAACTCTTCCCTGGTGGGCTGGCAGGTCTGGGCTGAGGCCAGATAGTATGAGTACTGATCACAGAAGGGCTGCGACTGGTACTGTCGCCAGCAGTATATGCAGTCCCGATCTGTGACTTCATGATTGCAAGACCACCACCAATGGGGATATATAGAGCCCCAGCTGAACCCCCCGCATGCCCCCTCTTGGTCTCCTGTGGCCCATACAGTCAGAGACAGGTAAGTCATTAGTTACAAACCATACACTACAAGTTAGTTATGTCACAAGTCCAGTCAATATGTTAATGGCAAAACATTAGTACCTATATTATCAATATAATAACTGCTTCCTCAAAAATAATGCAGCTTAGGTTACCAAGTAAATAATTAGGCAAAATATCATAACTGCACATAGATAGGAGCACCAAACAGTTAGTATTCAAAAGTTAAGACC